ACTGCAATGACCCATGGCTGCCTCCACTACCCACACACAACCACCACACCACCATGTGTGTATGCTGTTGTGTATACATTTTTGTAAATAATGTACTGCTGACATTATCAGTGCAGGTATTGTGTTACATACAATGGGTGGCCATATGTACATCGTGTATGATATGAGTCTTAACCCTTTGACTGTTTCAGGCCCCTTTCTGAAACTGTCATTCTATGTCGCCAAATATTCAAAAAAAATTATTTTTTCTTATGAAATGATAGAGAATCTTTTCTCGATGGTAATGACACCAAGAGTTCGAAATTTGGTCGAAAACTCACGGAATTACGTTCCCGCGAAGTTAGCGGAATCGGCGACATATGTGTATCGGCGATTTCGCCAACTTTGAGCCCTGTTTTCAGCCAATTTCGTTGTTCCAGTTGACCAAACTCATAGCTATTTCTTTAGAACTCCATTTTATCTATCAGCTGAGTACAAGAAACTGCCCATTTACCAATTTGAACTACCCAATATAGTGGTCAGAAATTGGCAATTTGGCCAATTTCACGCAAATTAAAAAAGATGCCAATTTCAAAATAGGGTCCAGAATAAACAAGGTAGACATTCTTGGCACTAAAATAGCATATCCTCTGTTCATTAGTCACATCTCTAGGCCCCTCTTATATTATTATTGCTTTCTATTTTGATTTTTTATTCATATAAAAAAAATACAAAATTTACTGTTATGCAGACTACTGCATTATTGTAAAAATGGTATAAATAATATCAGTGCACTAGTGAAAGAATATTAGACTCCCCAGCTGACGTGTATTGGACGTGTGGTGTGATTTGTTTACTCCTGAACATTGGTAAAAATCGAACATTTCCGCTAATTTGAGCTCAGTTTCAAGGTCGTTTTCATCGTCTAAGTAATGAAAATCATCTCTATTTCTGTAATATGTTTTCCATTTTATCACCTAAGATCATGAAAACGCGAATACAATGATAAATACTATACGAAAATACACCTCAAAGTCGGCGTTTTATTCCAAAAAAACGATCAGTTTTTTTTTCTCATTACGCAATGTGTGCTGCAGGATTTTTTTTATGTGGTGCACACTGACCACACAGACCCATTCTCTCACATGTGGGCCTACCAGCTTTCTCCTGCTTGATTTGAAGCCGCTAGAATTATTGAGTATATATACATCAGAAACATTGGCTCGTAAGACGTATTTATACGTCGAAAACAGTCAAAGGGTTAAAGGCCACAAAAGTTACTGAAAAATGTAAAAAATTTGAAAAACCCAAAAGTACAAAATACAAAATAATATAATGCAGAGTGTTCAGCTAATGCCAATGTTGCCATCAGTGGGTCATCGACCTTCAACTTTACACCTTCTGAAAGTGAAGAGATGAAAGGATATGATACATTACATTCTCACGTTTATGCTCAACATTTTTGTTGACCTCCATGTAAGCTTTTTTGTTTTTTTTTTATTTTCGAGGTTACTATCAACCCACCAACTGGATAAGTACTGTATTGTACTGTAAACTCATAGCTATGCATATCACAAATTTTGTTAACCTCACCATCCAGAATCTAAAGAGCTGCACACAAGAAAAGCTCTAAAATGTTGAAAATGCTCTCTCTGGCACAATTCTAATAATTAAATTACTGTATTTAAGTTTATATAGGTACACATAGTAATAGGCTTTCTCCATGTGTTAAACCTAGAAACCCTGTCCAGTCTATGCCTACATGTATTAAAAAATGGGAGGGCTCCATCTTCTCACTTTCAGCATTTAATTTAATAGAGGTAACATATCTATTTAATATGGTTAGAAAGTCATCAAGGATTTCATTAACAGACCAGATAAAGCATATCATAGATATATCCACGTTCATTTAGTCAGCAGGCCAACTTTCAAAATTCTGAAAGAGTACGATACAAGGAAACCCGATTAACACATTACACTCTGCCAGGATTGCCAGTTTTGACTTTCTGTCTCTCAAACATAAATATATCAAGCTAATATTAATCAATTTCACTTCTATTCACTACACTATCACCTGCATATTTCTACTGAGTGTGTGTTCCTTGAATTAGCTCCTAAAACCTGTACCACTATATTTTTTATTTACTTGCATTCCCACCTTATGCAAAGTGAGATGAAATCCCTCCTGGTCAACAAATGCAAGTCACTGAAGACAACTAAAATGCCAAGAGGTAGAAGGCAGATTATTCATTTGTTTAACTAGAATTATAAAGCCAGAAAACTGTAAGAAACAACATTTACCAAGGGCAATCCCACCATGAGGTGGAGCCCCAGACTCCAGTGCTTCAATAAGGAAACCAAGAGTTGATGGTTCAACACCCATAATATCCTGCAGGACAAACCGCTGCATCTCTGGGTCATGGATTCGTATAGATCCACCGCCAACTTCACATCCATTCAACACCAGGTCATAATGCTGTGATTTTGCCTAGAACAGAAACTCAGAAAATATGTAATTAACAGATAAAGGTATCAATAATGTAAGTCATACTTCATATTGTATGTTGGCATAAATTGAAGCTTAGCTTCAACATTCACTTAACATATTATAAATATATTTTAATAATGAATATAAACAAATATATGATGTATCTGTGTTCATTTTTGCAGATTTCATGAAATATTAATATCGAACAACATAAAACAACACACCTTAAAAGGATCAGTGTAAAGATAATGAGTATCATCTTCCCTGGGCAGTGTGAAGGGATGATGGGCAGGTAAAACATTTCCTTTATCGTCTTTGGTAAAGAGAGGAAAGTCTACCACCCACAGGAAGTTGAAGTGTTCTGGGTGCCTCACAATAATTCCACTTTCCTCCATGGTTTTAGCTGCTAGCAATCGTAATTTACCAAGCAAACCCAACTGTAAAGTCAATCAAATAATATAAAAATTATCAAGTACAGTGGACTCCCGAGTTTCGTGATTAATCCGTTCCAGAGAGTCTGCCGACTGGCGAAATTCACTATTGGCGAATCTATTTTCCCCATAAGAAATAATGGAAATCCAATTAATCCGTTTCAGACAGCCAAAAGTATTAACAAAAAATTATTTTTTTAAAGATTAAATATAGATTTACATACAGAAAACAATGACAAATAAATATAAAGCACTAATAAAATGGATAAATGAACATTTAACATCACACTTAACCTTTATTGGTTCTTGTTGGTGTAGGAGGTAGGTAGGAGGCAAGAGGAAGGCGAGTTTATTATGCTTCAATATGATGCTAATATCATCTCTACAGCTTATTTATCTATCATAATTCATCTAATATGACATTATAAACAATATTAATAACAAAGAAACATGATATATACTCTAGAATACATAAAATATGTCATACTGTATGAGAGGAGTAAATGGTTTAAGTGTTGTTGTTGGGTTTAAGGGCTGCCACTGAGAGAAGCCGTGTTGGTGGTGGTGGAGGCTTTGGCCACCACCACCATAATAATATAATAATATCTTTATTTACTACAAGTACATGTACATGGTATGCAGTCCTAGCTAACAACAATGACATACTACTATATAGAAAGCCCCTTGTTATGCTCCGCATGTCGGGCAAATTAGGTCATTGTCCCAGGATGCAACCCACACCAGTCGACTGACACCCAGGTACCCATTTTACTGATGGGGAACATAGACAACAGGTGGAAAGAAACACGCCCAATGTTTCTACTCTGGCTGGGAATCGAACCCAGGCCCTCACTGTGTGAAGCGAGAGCGTTAACCACCAGACCACCAGAGCCCCATCACACTTAAACAATGTATGTACTGTAATTTATAAATAAGAAATATTTACATTTTAATTTATAAATAAGAAATATTTACATTTTAATTTATAAATAAGAAATATTTACATTTTAATTTATAAATAAGAAATATTTACATTTTCATTTAAAAATAAGTAAGTTTATTCAGGTATACACAAATACAGTTACATACATAGATTATCATACATAGCAGCATATGTGTAAAGGACCAGGATAACCAAAAATTCATGAGTGACATATTTCCATTGGTGTCCTTTTATACTTACACTTATATTTACTTCTATACTTACATTTTTATATTTACACTTACCTTGGAGGAGATGTTAGTTTAATTAGTTTGATGAAGGAGATGTTGGCAGAGGTTTAGGGTGTGGAAGATAGCAGGGCGGTGTATGTTCAGCAGTCCTATACACATCCAACAACATTGGAGAGTTACTCTCATGTTGTTTTTCTATCGCTTACTCGCTTAACTTACTTGCTACACTGTTAGTTCTACACTTTATCACTGGCTGGAGCTATAGCCTTTATTGATACCTGCTGCTTTAGTATCATACTTATCGTAGAATAACTGAATCACTGCAGAAGGCACATTCTCCTCTCTTTCTCCCTCCTCTACTTTAGTACTTTGCTATGAGTTTTTTCTTGAATTCTATCGTGTTTCTCACCTTCTTTACCAAAGGGCTGGCACTAGGAGCATTCTTTGGGTCCATGGTGGCTTATTTAGCAGTTGCAAGCACAAAATCAATGAATTATTATGAAATGAGTTGTATGAACCTGTGGGGTGATGGTCACATGCTGGTATACAATGGCACACTGAGTGTGAATAGTGGGGGAGACTGGCTTTGTGTGCGTGCTGACAGGCAGATGCGTACAAGAAAGTCGCCGAATCACGAGTCCAATCACGAACCACGAAGCTAAATTTTGCCAAAAAAAATTACCAAAAGTCGGATTTCACGAAAGTCGCAGCCGCCGAACGGCCGGGGTCCACTGTAGTTACTTGCTAAATTATATCTCCTATACTTCAAGCTTTTCAAAACAAGTTGATAGTTTTAAGCAGTCTTCAAACTGAGCTACAGTATTAACATACACTTTAACAAAGCTGGAATTTAAAAGTGCAGTATATAAAAGTTAAAATTATAAAAAATGCATATACACAGGTACTATATCACAATATATGTATACTATATAAAATAACTTAATCAAACTGACCACATCATTAGTTGGGCCCACTGCCATGACTAATATATCTCCCATTACAGCCCGAGTGTTTGAATTAATTCCCTTTGGCTTATAGCACTCATTTCTTGGACACCGCTCCCTTTAATGTGAGGTCCTCACAGATGTAAAACACTGATACTCCAAGCAGGTTATGTTGTGTTCTGGCTAAATTTTCCCAGGATGCTACAACCTTCTTAGTGACTTGCAGCTATGGAAGAAAAAATCATCACTGCACTTTAATCATAAAACAAAAATTGTTATCAATACATTTCATTTTAATTTACAGTTTTCTTTCTTTTCGGGTCACACTGCCTTGGTGAACAAAAATCATTTTATAATCAGAGCATACAAGCCAATTATATATATATATA